TCGCATGTAAACACAGCTGTCAAGATCCGAGGCGCGCGAGGTTCGTTGTGCGAGTGTTTCTCCGCGATTTAAAACCGTGACACGCGTTGATGACACCCTATTCCTACCTGTAATCGCGCGGGAGCAGGTGAGAAAAGCATGTGTGTGAGTGACAGTTATTTTATCCCTCGAGGTTAGGTTCGAGGAGGAGATAAAACGTTCAAGGAGGAGGTTTTAGGGCGAGGTCGACACACTACGGGGACTTTAGGAGACTCGACGGTAGTTTCGTATTTTTCCATTTCTTTTATTACTTGAAATGTTTGTTGTTTTTTTGTTTAGGTGAAATTAATTGAAAGGAAAGGTGGTTAAGTGTTCGACGAGGTATTATGATCGATATTTTGTGTATAATTATAAGTTTGGAGAAAAAGACAAGTTCAGACTATTTTTGAGGATTGTTTACATTTCTATGTAGTTTTTTTGGTTTGGAGTGATATTAGTCCTTTGCTTTGTATTGATCATTTCAAGAAACATAATTTTGGGATATGTTTAGATTTGTGTGTCAAGAGAAGTATGGTTTGTTTTTTGTATGTAATGATAATTTGAATTCCTTGACTGGAATTTTTGTTTGTAAAAGAAAATGTATGTGTATTACTAAACGAAAAAACATGAAAGGATTCTTGTGCTGAATTGGTTTTAGATTACTGAATAGTAAGGAAGCACCCACAGTAGCTTTTAAAATGAGTTTTTTTCATAAAGGAATCATACTGCCAGTGTTCTGTTCTAATCCACTTGAAATAGGGTGATCTGTGAGGGATGCCTGACAGTTGTAGATCTTAAAAGTAATGCAGTCTCAAGTAATTCTTTGGTCCCTGCACTTTGTGGTTTGGTAAAGACCAGCAAATCTTCATTATATTTTTCTTGGCAAGGTGGAGCTTGGTCTAGATCCTTGTTAGATGCATAAATTGCTCATAGGTTGATAAGGCATATCTAGCCAGAATTTAAACAGTCGGGATTTGTTGATCAGTTTCAGAGCACGGGTGGAGTAAGTGCAAATGTCCTTTTGAGTATTTGCCCAGGTTTTGTAAATATTTATATAATTTGTAGTAATCCACAAGTTAAGTATGAGTTGTGAAATATATAATGATAAAACATTAAATCTCAACTCAAATAAGACTGTTGTTGCCAAGGTCATAGTTGTCTGCAACAATTGCATCATATGTCAATGTTTGCTCAATTTTTCATATGAAAGAAGTCACTATATAAAAGTTTGCCTTTTCATTCACTGTCTCAGCTGATGAAAATGTTAATAGTTGTTTGGAAGTACTGTTATGCTTGTTATTATTTTTTTTATATGCGTATTTTATCTTCTGTCACTTTTAGAAGAGTGAGCTTATTTAAAGAAATTGTCAGTGTGTTAGCTGGTGAATAACTGAATTGATAGGAAAGAATCAGGATAACAAAGTGCTGTGAGAATTGTTGCAGTTGAAAGAGAAAAATGTTCAATTTGATGTAGCTAAATTCTGAAAATATATTTCAGGTACAACATGAGCCTGAAGATTTGTAACCTTCAGGGAGTTACGGATGCCCTTTTCCGTGAGTTCCTCTCCCAGCCTGGGGAACGGCAGTGGTGCAGTGAGATTCTGCGTTCCATCACCAAGGGTAATCAATGTCTTGTTTGTCAAGACTTTTGCCTTGAGTTTTTTCTATTAGAAATTTACCATTAATATTTAAAAGCTGTTGATGCAGATGCTGATACTATTTATCGCTTTTGAAATAGTTGTTTGATGATGATATATATATATATATATATATATATATATATATATATATATATATATATATATATATATATATATATATATATATATATATTTTTTTTTTTTTTTTTTTTTTTTTTTTTTTTTTTTTTTTTTTTTTTTTTTTTCATGTGTCATATATTCTGTGGTGCTTACATATACTGCCCCAGATATATTCCTGGAAAATATTTACCATATTTGATGGCATATAAAACACTTTTTTCTAAATAAATGATTGGAAATAACACTTCTGAGATAGGGCCACTTTTTTACTTAATATATCCTACTGAAATGAAAATGTGTTTTTTTGGCTTCAAATATGGTATGTATTGCCATTCTACATGATTATGATGTTCTATAAAAAATCTGGAACATGTATGTGTACATTTAGATGAAAGTCAGAGAAGGGATAATCTGTGTGAAGCCCAGAATAGAAAATTGTAGATGACCATGGATTATAACCATGATGCCATGATGATTATTTACAATAGGATCTCCTTTAGTGATGCTTTGACCTCCATGCTTCATACTTCAACATAAGCAAACAAACTCCTGTGATGTATATCCTGCTATGATGGAGCTGGGCAGGTTTCCTTGATTGATAGTATATCACTAGGGTGTTTTGTTTTGTGCATATCTTTTTCATATATATTAGAAGTGTTATTTTCTGTTTTGTTTATAAATATTACATTAGTTTTTTACTGTCCCTGTGAGTGGTAGTAATGTAAATAATTTCCTAAACCTCCAACCCTAATGAGAGGCACGATTAAACCTAGGTCATAAGAGCATATCTGAATAAGTAAATTGTCGTATACCTCTTCAGCAGCCGGGTATAAGACTGCTCTGTGGCTCTTCAGTACCTTAGCATCAGACTAGCGTGTACCTTTGTAGTGGCTTAGCGTCAAATTGCTTTATACCTAGGGCAAGTGCATTTAAAAAATTATGCTTATGATTATTCTGATTGAATTTCCACCTATATTTTTCATTTTAATTTTTTTTCACAGTATTACTGTGTACCTGGCAGTATGTTGTCATCATTTGTATTTAGTCAGTTTTGTTTTCCTTTTTCTGTGTTCATAAAAAGGTGGACTAATTTCTGTAACATAATCACATTGCTGAATAAATGCAAAACAAGCACTGACACAGTTGATAGGTTAAGGCCATAGAAAGAGTACTTTTAACTTTTAATGTGTCTGTAATTTTTTTTTAATATCTTTCCAATAACAGCAGATCTCAATAACATATAGATTGATAATCCTTGAAAAACAGTGAATATCTCTTGACTGACATTGTACTGTAAACCTAACTCAAAAGGTATTGCATGTTAACTTTTTTCAAGCAAGGTTTTTAGTATGAGTATTCCTAAATATTTTTTTAATGTAATGTCTAAATGGCACTATTTTTGCTGCATACACCTAGCGCTTAGCACTCATGGACCAAAAAAATGCTGTGTATCTTTGCACAGTGGTCTTGGACTTTGCTCAGTGTCCTCCCTGTGACCAGATGCTTGGGCCATTTAGAAACTGTATTTCGTTTAAAGTATTATTAGATTTCCTTTTTATTTTTCAAGTTACAATTTAACTTTTGAAAAGGTAGAATAATATAAAAAAATTTGGGTTCCTTTTTTGAAGCTTTAGACTACAGGTTTGCCTCCAATTCTTTTGGAGTAATTTTTGAGAGTAAATATGATGAAAGGGAGAATAAGGATGTATGTTTGTCAATGCACATTAACATGTATACCTTTTTTCTGATATGCAGCATTACATGCATATGCTTTGTCAAGAAATTTCAATATGTCTTATACTTACTTATTAGCTTGTAAAGCCTTTCCAGGGATTTGCCTTTTTTTAGTGCTATACTCCTAAATGCAAAAATAACTGCTATGTTTTTTTACCTTTAAAGAGGAATGTTTTCAGGCACAGCAATATTTCATGCTCTTACATATTTTCATCTCCCTTCTGGTTGGTGGGGTCTCGATTGACTGGACAGATGATGACGGAATAATGCTTTTTCACAAGTGATTTAGTTCTGCTTTCTCTTTTTAGGTGAAGCTTAGATTGTGTGTATTTGACATAAATATCAAATATTGATATCTGAACAAGGTATCTTTGTCAATGTTCATTTGAATTGGAATTTTGCTCAACACATTTTTTTGGACATTTGAATACTGTTAGATTTGTCATATGATGAATGTCAATAATCCTGATATTTAGTGGAATAAAATGTCTATGCTGAAGTCACTTTTATTATATATATATTTTTTCCTTTATAATTTAGTTCAAAATGAGGAACAATGTTGAATATAATACAAAACAGGGATGTATAATAGAAATAACAACAACTAAATACAAGTTATATAGCTTTTATTTTTTTACCAGAAATTGATGTATAGTATGGGAATATTCTTCCCATACTTTCCTACGTATTCATACATTATACTGTGATGTACATAACTTGCTAATGTCTAGGGGCAGTGTGACATGTCTTTTGCCGGGGGTTAGGGTGATATACAGCTATAGAAATTTCATTCATGCATCAGTATTCTTGCTCACTCATGTCTTGTCGTAAATACATAAAAAAAAAAATGTTTTCTGGAACATTTTTTTTCTTTTTTTCCCCCATTCACTGAATGATTTCAAATGAATCTTTAGTATGGCTAGGTTTTTCGATTGAGTAGTTAGTGAATCAACAACATTCTTTCCTGAGTCATTGTTTATTACTGTCACAATAAAGGAGTCAATGTTTATTGATCGAGGATCAAGACTAAAGGACAGGTCTTTATTATCTTTAGATTCATTAGGCTTTTGATTTACATTATTCATTTAATTGATTCCAGAAATATCTAACCCAATAATTCATGTAATTCAGTATTCAGGATGATGATGCAAGAAGAATCTGCTATCAGTATGGAAGAATTTCTGTAAATTCTGTGTATTATATGAAATGGTAATACTCTTCCAGTAACATACTTTGATAATATTTTGTCTGTTCTTTCACTATTGTTTCATGAATTCACAAATACATTTTATGAAAAAGGCTGTTGAGTATGATAAATTTTAATTCTGGCACTTTGTCTCAATACTTCTATTTTTCTTTATTATTTGCTAGCATTCACTTGATGCATGGTTTCAGGATGGTGATAAATTGTATGGGTGAATGATTGTTCATAACTCATAATTTATAAATTCTTTTTTGACTAAACATTTTCATTAGCCCGATATACAGCCCTTATTAAGTCTCATAGGTAACCGAGTGTTGTCATGCAGTGAGGAGTTTCTTCCTAATGTCTATTATTTAATATTATTTAAGCCCTTATTTTTTGTAATGCATTTTTTGATATGATTTTGTTTGCGTTAGATATTTCTATAAGGATATACTTGGCTTAAACTTGTTGAATGAGTTTGAAGTCAAATAGCATTAGCATTTTTTGTAAGATTTTTGTTGTCTGATTATTTGTGCAGTTGTTACTTTTCACTCTTCAGTATTGGTATTTACTCTCTATAGTTTGAAACTTCCCATATTTAACTCTTTCAGATATTGAATATGATGGTGGTATTTGATTTAATTTTTAGCTTTACATTAATGGATTTGCTTGGTAGTAATAACATATTTTGAAGGTAATTTCTGCATTTTGGCTAATTATTTTGCAGCAGAAAAAAATTGATTTGAGGAGACAGGCCTGAATTTGAAGAATTTGCTCTCAATAACTGTCATTTACTTAGTAACAATAATTAAATAGATTTTCCAATAGTAAATTGCTGTTATCTCTTTTTTTATTATTAGTATATTTTTATTGATATTATTATTATTGTTAATGTTATTGTTATTGTTATATATATTTTTTTTGTTCTGCAGGGGAGAGGGTGGAGACAAAGGACTTTCTGAAGCTCTCCTCGGATACACCCCCTCGCAGTTCCCCTCGCAGTTCCCCAGTGAACTCTCCCCGCAACCATGCCCATCTCTCCCCACTTCTTCTTCCGCCTTCTCCCCGTTCTCCTGTATCCCCCCTCCCACAGTCCCTGAATTCAGGTCTTCTCTTCTCACGGAACAGTGGCCAGCCTGGGTCTGCCTCAGCTGCCTCTGGCACTACACCCCAATCCTCCACTGCAGCCTCGTCCTCCTCTCCCAATTCTGTAGGCTTTTCCTCTGTCACCAACTTCTTTTCCACCTCCTTGGCAAATGAGGCAAGGCCTAGCACTCCCACCAGTTCCCTCGGACGCAAGCACAACTGGCGTAGGGTGAGTACAAAGAGACATTTTTTTTTTCTTCATTTAGTGTTTGGTAATAGGTGCATGAAAATTTTCTTGTAGATCTTTTCCAATTTTCTTCTTTGTTTTTGTTTTTGATGCATGATTTGTGTGGTCTTCAGGTCTGCAACCTTGTAGGGGAATGGCCTATTGCTCTTTTTTAGGGTTACGTAAAACAGCAAATGAATGGTATACAGACACTAAAGAAAAGGAAACACAAACAATGATGCAGTGAAACTACTGAATCAGGAAGCAGTTCTACCATTTGCACTTCCATGATACATTTTGTGACATGCTGAATGCTATGGACATTTTTATAGACTAATGTTGGCCATTCGGATGTTAAGCGGAAGATAACTGTATTTGGCTCATGAAAGGGGAAAGGGAGAGGGAAAGATACATTTAAACATATCAGACTGGTTTTGGAGTTGTACTTGATCATTATATCACTTTCTTCACAGAAGAGTAATGGCTGAGTTTATCATAGAATATTAAGGCAAATGGAACCTGGTGGAGTGTTAATATAATTACACAGAACTTTGTAACATATAGGACCAGATGTTACACATATTAGTACTCATGGCAGTAGTTGTGTTACATGCAGTATTTTTTGTTGATATAGAAATGGTACTGAGTGCCACTTGGTAGATAAATCTGTTGGTGTTATTGGAGACTTCTGTTGAATTTAGCTACTGATTATGAAGTTATCTATATTGTTATCTCTTGTCACTTTGCTATTTCTGGAGATCTGTGCCTTATGCCTTAGATTGATCCTATTGTGTTGTATCCTTGTTGGGCTGTCATATATCTGAAACCATTAGTGAAATTTGAAAATGGCGTCTTGCATGACTTTGATATCAGTGTTATGGTATCCTGTTTACGTGAATGCATCTATAGATAAACTAATTAATTTGATAGAAAGAAAGTCCTGAATGTTCGAGTTCTACATTCCATTTCATTGAGATATAAAGTTGTGTATGTCTAGCCAACACTGTTTCTGTGACTTTGTGAATGATACATGACATATCATGTAAATGTTTTGAATGTTGTGATTCTTAGAGTGATGTGATTGCTGTTTTGAATGTTATAAGTCTAAGAGTGATGTTGTGATTGCTATGTCATATGTTGCTATGGCTTTATCAGTAAGCTTTGGTATATATATGCTTCTTGTTAGTTATATGAAAATGTACTTACACCGAAGTAAAAGTATTGAGATATAAAGTAATTAAATTTGCTTTGCCGGTCTGTATCAATTTTTTATGGAGAGATCTTCATATCTTTTTCTCACATTTGCAGACTCCTTTCAATCACCTTCACTAACTCCTATACATTCCATGGCCTCTTCCTCGCACTTCAATATCCCCTTTGACTTATTCTTCCCACTTTCCCTCACCCTTCCTGCTCATCCTTCTTCCCTCGTTTTCTTACCTTCTATCCTCCCTCCCTCTCCTTCTCTGCCTGTATCCAATCCCTCCCTC